GCTGTTCCGTGCAGAACATTTGGCAAAATGGGAAGAGGGAACACATTTACTAGGCTGGTGTAAAGGTAATGGATATCGTATGTACTCTCCAGCACCTTAGGAAATGCACAGCCAAAAAGGAAGCCAAGGGAACCAGGACAGTGACAACCAAAGGAAATGCTTCAGGGGTGCAGCCCTATCTAAAAGGTAATGGTCCACTTCTTCACAGTACAGACAGATTGTACCGTTGTCATAGTCTTTACCTAGTTGAAGGTAATGAGTGTATAAACCCATGTTTAGGGTGTCAGATGACATGGGCGAGTTGGCATGTGCAGGTGAAACTGGAGTGGATGACACTCGAGGTAGCATCCACGTGGTTTGAGCATTGTTGGGCCTCTCTGCTCATCTTTCTTGGAGTCTGCAATCAAGCTAGATGGCATGATGGATCAGATCTTCAAGAGAATCAGGAATGCTCACTCTGACCAGTTCATCCTTAAAGCAACTGTGCAGTCCCCCCCCCATTAAAAAGTGCTCTATGAATGGAGGACAGGCAAATAAATGCAAGGTCTGTCACCTCCATTTGTTTCAGGAAACTGAAAGTGCTAGAACTCCACTTATGAGACTTTGTGACAATCCTGAACAGGTTAAAGACCTTGTTATTGTACATGAACTGTGAATTCTACAGTACAAGATCACCAAGGTTTGTTCCACAGCTAGAAACGGCTGGGCAGCGAAGGCACCAATTCAGGAGACAGGGAGTTGAGGATTCAAACCAAGGTTGGTAACAGCCGGGAAGCAGAGTAGTGTCAAGCAAAGCAGGCTGAGGAACACAATGGGTAAGCAAATGTCCAAAAGCAGGTCCCAAGGCAGTCAAGGTCATACACAGAAGAGCAGAACAGGCATGTTCCCTGTCTATGCAGTGTTCCAGTTTAGATAGGTCGATTGGTGCGAACATCTGTGCTGAGCTAGAACGCATGCCGCAAGGCGTGACTACTAATACATGTTCAACAGTTACCCCATACACAGGTCCAAGAGCCGCAACATGTGCATGTGCCCACGGTGGTCTTCTTGTACTAAAACAAACCAGGCCTTCCTTTCACATTTTTCATCAACATTTCTGATAGAACGTTTTTTTGTATAATCTGATCAGTTGTAGTAAGGTAATTCAAAACTATTGTAGGTAATTCTCAAAGTCAGATTTTAAGATTTGATTGGTCAGATAAATGCGATTTAACAATGACAACGTAATGTAGAGACTAACCATCTGGATGTAGCTTGAACAAGTCAACGTAAAATATTGGTTAAAACAAACACCTACAGGAGAAAAGAAGGAGAGATTATACTCTGTATTACATGAGCTTCTTGGGTGCAGGGGGTTAGGTCATTGACTTGCCAATGAGATCCCAGGAAATCGTAAGCACTCGATATCTTGCGGTCAGACGCTGCACAGATTTGAAGTATACTACATTATCCAGATCTTGCCAGAAAGGGAACTTCACCTCGTCTAGGCTTGTAGGAAAGGTAAGCATATCATCTACTTTTTACCCTCAATAGATTTTTTTTTTTAATTTTTATTTCTGCATTTCAAAAAGGGGCAGAGGGCAGATTTACTGAAAAATTGTTGATCTAACTAAAATCGAAAACAAAAAATCTGACTGTTTTGCCAGACTGAAACCATTTGCCAGACTGAAACCATTTGCCAGACTGAAACCATTTGCCAGACTGAAACCATTTGCCAGACTGAAACCATTTGCCAGACTGAAAAGCTATCCCCACTCCAGTCGATCCTAAACTCAGCGGCCAGACTCATCCACCTCACCAAGCGCTCCATATCTGCCCTCCCCCTCTGCCAATCCCTTCATTGGCTCCCGATTGCCCAACGCATCAAGTTCAAGCTGCTAACCCTGACCTACAAGGCCATTCACAATGCCGCCCCGAACTACATAACTGACCTGATACCCAGATACTACCCTACCCGTGCCCTCTGCTCCTCACAGGACCTCCTGCTCTCTAGCTCCCTGGTCTCCTCCTCTCACGCCCGATTGCAGGACTTCTCCAGGACTTCCCCATCCTCTGGAACTCCCTACCCCAATCCATCAGACTGTCACCTACCCTCCTCACCTTCAGGCGCACCCTGAAAACCCTCCTCTTCAGGGAAGCCTACCCCAACCTCACCTAACACCCGACCTCACCTAACAACTAACCTCCACTCCACCCACTACTCCATCCCCCACAGCCATCTCCTCCTGTGCCACCTTCCCCTCCCTCCTAGATTGTAAGCTCGAAAGAGCAGGGCCCTCGAACCCCTCGTGTATTGTATTGTTACTGTCTTGTCTTATGTTCTGTCCCCCTTGCTACTGTACAGCGCTGCGCATACCCTTTGGCGCTATATAAATACTGTATAATAATAATAATTCTCCCCTTAGGACACCCATTGGCATAGAATAGCCATGGCTGATCTTGCAGTTTTCAGCTTGACCAAACAACTTTGGGCTACTGGGAGGAACAGGGATAATCAGTT